TTCTGTCAATCTAAGCAATTGCATCCAAGCAATTGTCCTTCCTTAGGATTGGCTTCATCTTCATCTTTCATAGGGAGAAACTACTCTCATTGAACTTCTTAATCTCAAATTTTGTCGTCATAGTGTTGATAATACTCTGATTATTAACTGTATCTGGTTACACTATTTTACCGTGAATAGTACCATATACGTGAACAATATCTTACGTACAAATAGTATTGTATAATAGAACAAATCCATTATATGTTAATAATATTGTAAAAGTATACAAGTTACAACCACACGTGTGAATAGTAACCATAAACAACACCGTAATGTGAATAGTAACTAATAACCAATCAGCTCTAATACACTGTTAGGTAACAAAGTATCATGCAACAAAAATAGAGTTGAGAAAAATAAAAAATTTCAAGATACTATTAATCACACCAACTGGTCGGGCAAGTGTAAACCAGTGGAAGTCTCTTCGTGCTATGCAACAATGACTGATTAAATAACCACATTTACAAAAAAAAAAAATAACCACTCATTTTTCCGTATACCAACAATGTAGTAGTTAACTTATCTTAATTTTACCATTAAAAAGATCAATAAATATACCAATTGAAGTGACATGTAAGATTTACGTGAAAAATTTAATTGAAAAAAATCACAAACAAGATTAGAAAAAAATTTCACTAAATAAAAGAAATTATAACATTTCTATAAAATATAAGAAGAAAACAATATTACTCTATGTTATATTAGAAAAATATATCTCATTCTAAATAACACTTAAAAAGACACTCTCTTGAATTTTGGGATCCTTGAAAATATAGTGGGATCTCTCAATATATAGGCCGAAACTTCACGCGTAAACGCGTTTTTATATTTTTTATATTTTTTATCTTCTTCCATGTTAATTTGTGCAATTTGAATAGATACTGCACTATTGTTCTTTTGATCACCGTCCAACAAAAAAGTTGCATAAATCCAAAAGCACCGAAATGTGACATTATCGATTTCATCACTTACTTTAATTATTATATAACAAAAAATGGCTATCACCACCAGAATCAACAACTTATCATGCACCATTTCAAATTTCAACCTAAAGTAAGAAATAGTTATTTGTCTCCAAAGACAACTACAGCTATCTTTTATCGTTTCCGTATGTCATGAATTACCAGCACACCATTCTAGAATCAAAGCCAAAAAAAAAAGCCAGTTCCATGCAGGACCTATTGGTTCCCCTTCCAATAAGTGGATTTTACTTAAAATAATAATAAGAGAAATATTGTTTCCAAAAAATAATAATAAGAGGAATATAACTTTTACGTAACATAAAAGCTCTTACACACTCATGAAAAAATATCCCAATTTTTTTTAAAAAAAATAATGGGCTCATCTTGAACTTGTGTTTATAGAAAATTAAATTTATCTACAATGACATGAGAAAAATTGAGCCCTAATAATAATCTGAGAAATCAGTTCTATAAATTTGATGACATAATTGAAAGAGATGTATCATAAATTATGATTATATAATTGCATTGTCATCTATCAATACCCACGAAGCATTAGTTAATACTTTAACAAATAAGTTAGGTTAGTGTCAAACTTGGATGTGCCCAATAGTTTATATCACACAATTTAAATTTTATAAGATCAATGAAGGAAAAAAATCAGACTTCTTATCGCTTTTAAAAAAATAATACTATTCCACACAAAATAATACTAAAATCCAATTCGTACGACTCCAAATAATAATCTATGAAGCACGACACTTCAAAAATCCTGACGTGTCGTGTCCAACACTTCCCGACACTCCCCTACACTCCAACACGAGTTATAGAAATTTAAAAAAAGTTCAAAGGTTGTGTTGCGTTGAGTTTTTAGTTCCAACTATTAGATTCGTTAGATTACGATTACTATTACTATTTTATTGAGTTTAATATAAATATTTGGGACATCTTATGTTTTTTTTGTAAAGATTATGAATATTATAAGTTTAGATTCATTTTTTGTCAAATTATTGAATATTAAATATAATATACACTCCATAAATTAAAAATATTATTTAACATCAAAACGTGTCCAAACGTGTCAAAATCTAACATTTTTTAGAATTAACGTATCGGAGTGTCGTGTCGTATCGTGTCACGTGTCCCGTGTTGGTATCGGTGCTACATAGATAATAACAATAACAATTTGTACCCAAGTAAAAAGACTTTTACATTATTATACAATAATATACCGACACATTATTTTAACAGTTAAAAAGTTAAGAAATGAATTACCAAAAAAAAAAAAAATTCATGAAATCGTTAAGTAGTTTTTTTTTTTTTTTTTGGTAAATATCGTTAATTGGTTTTACTATATATCTTTAAATAACAGTGTAAAACATTTTTACACATACAATCAATCAAAATTAAATTCATAATATTATAATATCAATATAAACTTTGTTGTTAATACTATCTAATAATATATTACCAGGTCATTTAAAAAAATTACTTTCACAACTATTACGTAAAAATTACAATCACTAAAATAATAATATATAATGTACTGAATCTAAATTCAAAACTTTTTTTTTTTGTAAAAGTAATCAATGGTGTGGCACTAATTTCCTTTAAGTAACAATTAATCTAAACTTCTCTTACAACACATCAATGATAACCAGCATCTCCATGTCGCAATTGTTTCATATTAATCCTATGATGTTGAGAAATATATGACATCATATTTGGTGAAAAAATATTTATTATCTTGATGAGATAAAATGTTATATTTATTTTAAATAATAATTATTTATTAAATATGAAATGTTGATATTTTAATTATAATTTTTTGTGATTTAATCATTTTTTTCATATCGAACGATAAAACTGTAATTGTTTCTGAAATAAAGAAACACATTTGTATTTTACCAAAAAGAAGAAGAAAAAAAGAAACACATTTGTATGGTATTATGAAATGCAATTTTGATTTTAGCAATAAAAATAAATTGTATTTCAAAAATAATTTTTGTCCAGAAACCATTTCTTAACATAGAAATAAAAACAAAAAAAATCTGTCCAAAAAAAATGCCATAGAACACAAGTGTAGGCTTTTATATATATATATATATATATATATATATATATATATATATATATGGGTTTAGTGTTTGTCATTTTTTTTTTAAATGACATAACTTTGTGTCATTTTTAATGAAACTTCGTTGTTTTGGTGTGTTTTGTTATTTTTTCTAATTTATAAAATTAGAAATAAAAAGAAAATGGAGGAGAGAGAATGTTAAAACACACCAAAACGACGTAGTTTCATTAAAAATGACATAACTTTGTGTCATTTAAAATGACAAACAATTTTTCCATATATATATATATATATATATATATATATATATATATATATATATATATATAGGGTTTATATTTTTGTAGCTGCTGTACGTGCATCAATCAAATCCTTGTCATAAATATACTTGAAAGCATTAAATGCGGAAAATCATAATCATACAAAAGATGAAAGCATTAAATGTGGGAAATCATAACCATACAAAAGATGAAAGCATTAAATGTGGGGAATCATAATCATACACCTGTCGTTGTTGTACGTAAAGCGGTTGGAGAATGATTTCACCTATATAAGATATGATCATTTGACATTAGTGTCAAATTTGAAATTTGACACCTCATCTGAGAGCTGTTAGATCAAAAAAGATCAACGGTATTACATGCTTACAAATCAGAATCATTGATTTTTTTTATCTAATGAATCTTAGATGAAGTGTCAAATTTTAAATTTGACACTAGTGTCAAAATATCCTATCTTTATGTATATATATATATATATTCTTATTAAGATAAAAATATGATGTTATAAAAAATGAATTATATTCTTTATATATTTTAGATTTTTTATGAGATAAAATTTATATTTTTTGAATAATTTTTATTGATTAAATATAAAATGTTAATGTTGTGATTATAATGTTTTGGTTATTTTTATACAAATTGAATGACAATTATGTTACTTATAAGTATTTCAAAAATAAAGAAACTGATTAATATGGTGTTATCGGATGTAATTTTATTTTTAAGAAGTTATTAGATGTAATAGTATCTTTAAGAATAAAAATAAATTGTGTCATGAAATAATATAATTTTTTTTATCGAGAAGCTTTTTCTATAAAAATATTTCTCTTAAAAATTAGAGTGTTGGAAAAAGGTTATTAATTATTATCATGCACAATCCGTAAAGAGAAACAAAAATCCCAACGAATTATGAATGAATGGAAGAATGGTAGTGAATAGTAATTTAACATGAGCAAATCAAGCAGGAAAATCTTAATTATTTATTAAGAAATCTAGAAGAATACATTCATGAGACTGTAGCTCAGTTGGCAATTTGTGATTAAACTTTAATTTGGAATTAATTTTATAATTGACTTAAAAGAGTTAAAACTTATATCGATCGATCGACCGACTCGTCTTAAAAAAATAATTAGAATTCATATATTAAAAAATAAAAACAATAATAATAATACGGGATAGGAGAGATAAAAAACAATTGTTAATTTATGTATGGATAATTAAGAATTCGGTTAAATGAAATATCATTTCCATAGAAAATTAGGTCTAAAGAGTTTGGTAAATAAATAAAAAAAGGATGTGGCGAGGTGCGCCATCCCCGGAGAAAGCCAACAGAAATCTAGTTGGAATGAGAGAAACAGTATTCTCAATACAAACGGCCCTATATATCCTATCTTTTTCTTTGTTCATTCTTTCATTCATTCTCTTTCATTATAACACAACAATTTCAAGAAAAAGAAAAAGAAACCCTCTCATTCTCATTCTCATTCTGAATCTCAATTCGAATTCACTCTCCTTTTTTTGTTTTTTTTTGTTCCACTATATATACACACACACATTCGATTCACACCTCTCTCTCTCTCTCTTTCCATAGAGAGAAAGAAAGAAAGAAAGTTGAAAGCGAAGGACCGTTCTAGTTGAATGGGAATCATAGTGGAAGTTGAAAACTTAGACGGAAACGACGACGTTCTGGTTCCGCCACCTAACTTCTCCATGGTGGAGGACTGCATTTTCCGATCAAGCCTCCCTAACCCTTCCAATTTCCCTTTCCTCCAATCCCTAAACCTTCGCTCCGTCATGTCAGTTCCCTTTTCCTTCCTTTCACAATGTGCTCTAATTTTCTTCAACGATTCTTTAAAAACTCCAACTTTTTTTTTTTAATTTAATTAATTTTACACAATAAATTAAAGAATCATGTAATGCACACCCTTTTTTTTTGTTAACTGCAAGGAAGATGTGATTTTTCCAGGGTTTATGTTATATGATGATTTTGTTGTTGTTGTTGTTGTTGTTATGGTTGGTGTGAAACTTAATGTGTAATTGCTGCAGATACTTGTGTCCTGAGCCCTATCCACAAGAAAATCTAGAGTTTCTTCGCTCACAGAATATTCGGCTCTTTCAATTTGGAATTGAGGGGAAGACGGTAATTATTTTAATTTCCCTTTTTTGTTCTGTGATGTTGACTTTCATATTCATCAGTTATGCTGAAACGTGTGTTCTTGTGTTTTAATGTTTAAAATACGTAATCTTTTGAACTGCTTGTTGATGGTTGTAAAAGGTAGTAGTACTTGTTTGAAATCTGGGTTATGAAAATTTTGGTTCTCTTAGTTTTTCAAATTTTGAAGACAAATTTTTATTGAAATGTCAAGACATTCAGTTCGAGGTTTAAATTTGTTATGCAGTTCTTTTGCCACTCATCTATTTGGGAAAAAGGGGAATATTTTCTTGAAAATAAGGTTTGGTGTCAAGTACTTCAATGTATAAAAAAAAAAAAAATTGGTGTCAAGTGAATTTTTTTACACGTGGCTGTGCATTATGGAAGACTGGCTTTACTGTTATGATTGCATTCAACAAGGGAACTAATGATCATGTTCATGAAATTTGATGCATATGGATTAAGGGCTCAAATTTTGGTCTCCCTGTCAGATTTTTCTGATTCCAGAGCTAATGAGTCTTCGTGTTATTCGCAGGAAGTTTCTTTGCCTATTCTCAAGGATTCTATCATGGAGGCTCTGAAAGTTTTAATTGGTACTGAATTGTAACAATCTCCTTCAACTTTGTGATGCAGTTTTTTGTGCTTATCCCGAGCTTCTCTTATTTATTAGATATTTAAAATTCCTTCAATTTTTGTGGTTTCAGATGTGAGAAATCACCCAGTTTTGATCCATTGCAAGCGAGGAAAGGTATAGATTGACTTACAGATTTATCTCCTCATTAGTTTCCTTTAAATAAAAAATAAAATAAAAAAGATTCTAAGTGATCTTCTCTTCTTTTATGCAGCATAGAACAGGTTGCCTTGTTGGTTGCTTTCGAAAATTTCAGAATTGGTGCTTGTCTTCTGTGTTTGAGGAGTACCAACGATTTGCTGGTGTTAAATCCAGGACAACGGATTTAACATTTATAGAAATGTTTGACATCTTAAGCCTGAGGCAGTGTCTTTACAGCATCATCTACCAGTACCAAGGATATGGTTCAAAGAAGCGTCGCTTGTTGTATAAAGATGAGAATTTACAGAAGCCCCGACTGACATCATTTTAACTGCGGCGGGATTTAACTCCTTTTTTTGTGTTTGTTTTTTATTTGGTAGGATTTACACTTCATATTAATGCTCAGAGTCATTGATCATTATATCCTTACAAGTTAGGATTTCCAAAGATTTTGAGGAACACATATATCTCTCTCCCCCCCTCCAAACCACAATGCCAATTCCAATTTAATTGTCATACGCGGCTACAGAAATACAGTGGTACAAACAATTCTTTTCAGTGCCTATGAGATTAATCGTGAGTTAGGCTTCTGAAGCCACATATTTTGAAGCAAATAAAAGCTTTTCTTCGTATATAAGAAATTTTGATCTTTTTTTGAATACAAAGGTGGGAATTAAATACATAATATAATACAAATTACTCAAATCTTTCGTCACTAGACCAATTTTAGTGGCTTAAATTTTGATCTTTTATTTCCAAGGATTGGATCTGTATGCTTTTCTTTATAATGCTGCTTTAGTAAGAAGGAGGAGAAGGAAAGAAGTGTGAGCATTTGGTAACTCAGCAGAATGGAGGAAGAAACGTAAGATTGGTTTAGAGGTGGCGATTTAAATGTTCGAGTTAGAGGTCACCATTGTCAATGAAAGAAAAAGTCAATAGTGGTTCTGGTTCAAGTGTCGATGGGACAAACTTGTATGATGGGTTATAAGAAGCTTGTGAAGAAAATATTAGAAGGGATTTGCATCTATCATGTAACATGACACAAAAATTTTTTCTACACACACAACATTTTGTGGAGCCCGCATTTTTAAAGCAAAAAAAAAAAAAACTAAGGCACGCAAAACGAATTTCTATAACATTACACAATCATTTTTCTTACAACATAACTCTTATAAAATCCATATTAGAAATTGTGTATTTCATTTTCTGAATTGTTGAATTTACAAATTGTCCTATATAATCTAAGTTTACAAGATGATTTGTTACAAAATATAAGAGAAGTGTGCAACATAATAGGATAAAAAGCCATAGCAGCACCATTCAAGATACATCTATCTAATATTAAGATCAAAGCTATCATGTTGAAATTGAATATTTGAATTTGCCAAAACGATCATTTGCTGTGGTCTGATATCGGGTGATAGAAAATGTTTCATTTTTTCCTTAGATTATAGATTAATAAGCTTGACCTTGAAGATGGCAATGAAGAGGACTGAAGCACTTCAAATTAAAGGGTATATTAGCTTTGTAACTCGCTCAATGCTAAGGTTTGTTACATGCCTATAATGTTGGGATTGTTGATTGTTTGACATGAAATAATTAATTATTATTAAAAAAAATTCAGTTTTTTTCTTCTGTCTCTTTTAAGGCCTGATATAAATAAATTATTCATATCTTGAGTTTAGTAGCTACTAGTGTGTGTTTTTTGCAATTACAAGTTTTACGTCTTTGTTGATTTTTAATTAGGATTTCGTTTTCTCTTTTTATTAGGTTTTTTTTTTTTCATCAGTTCCCTTCTAGTTGATTTTGTATTAATCATTAATGGTTTTCCAGGTAGAGGAGAGTTTAGGTTTGTCATCAGACAAAGAGAGCTACAATTTTTTTTTTTAATTTACAATATAGATTTTATTTATTTATTTTTCTATCCAGATATAATGTATCCTTTTCAATTGTAAAATACCAAATGCTACATGTACCCAAAAAAAAATACCAAATGATACAAATATTGAATAAACAAAAGTAAAAAATAAAATCCAAAGATAAATTGAAGAATTATTGAAAAAATAAAATAAAGAAAAGTAAAACCACTTAAGAATGAAGAAAAGTAAAAAAAAAAAATCAAATTTGAAATATTGTTAAAATAATTATTGAAGAATTTATTGTCAAAATGATTAATAATAAATCAAATTTTGACTGTCACTTAAATACTAAGATAAATTGAAATCCTGAAACATGACAATTTTCATTTAGAGCCTGTTTGGATGGTCTTTTGTTTTTTAAAAAAGTTGCTTTCTTTTTTTCAAAAAGTCATTTTGAGAAATTTTAGATGTTTGGATAATAATTTTTTTTTTAAAAAAAAAAGTTAAAATGATGCTCTCTTTTTTTAGCGAACAATTGGTTGCTTTTGCAAAAGCAGAATTTATTAAATAATATTTATTTTTAAAATACAAATTTAACTTTATTCAATCAATCCATTATCTCTCCCTATCTCAGGATTATGTTGTTTTTTGTTAGCTACAACAACTTATTACTTTACAATCAAACATCTCCCTCTTTTTTATTTTCATTCTTACATTTTCTTTCTGAAGGTACCGTTTTCTTTTATCTCACCTTATCCTACAATTGCTATTTTTGATTTTTTTTTTTTTTCAAGCCACAGTCACGGAAGCAAGAAAATAAACACAAAATCAAGCCACACAACAAATAAGAAAGTGAATAAAATATTAATGCTCCTCCCATTAATGTCCTTTTTGTAATTTTGCATATAAAAAGTTGGAAAAAGTGTTTGTCATCTTAAATGACAAAAAGTTATGTCATTTTAAGAGAGATATAGACACAGAAAATTTGAATTTTAAATTAAAAAAAACCAATCACTTTCTCTCTCTCATGATTTTCATTTTTCTGTGTCTATCTCTCTCCTAAAATGACATAACTTATGTCATTTAAAATAACAAACACCAAACCCTAAAAAGTTTTTTTTTATTTTAACATCTAAATGATTTTTTATGTAAAACCAATTTTTAGATCATGCATCCAAACGTAAAATAATTTTATCTTTTTAAAAAAGTTATTTTGAAAAAAGCAATGCATAAAAAAAAAACAAAAAAAATCCTTTTTTCGTAAGCAATTTGAAGCGACCAGAAGATGGGGGTCATTATCTTAGACCAAAGAGATGAAAAAAGTTCGAAGAAGTCAAATTTCAAATAATGTCAAGATAAGTTCAAATCTTAAAACAGAACTATATCATTTAATCTTCAATACCATAACCATACGCTATGGAAGTAACGATAAGTATGGTCATTGAATTTTGGAACGAATTGAATAGAAAATAAACAAAATCATCAAACGTTAAATGATTTTTATTTAACTGTTAAAATAAATTCAAATCTTATCTACTTGGATAAAAAAATTAAAAAAAATTTGTAACGAAACGTCAACAAAATTAAAATTAAAATAAATTATTCACCAAAGCTTATTGAAATTTAGTAAACGTATGAACAAAAAATTATTTCGAAAAGAAATTACTTGTGCAAATTTTATATCTTTTTAAAAATATTTTTCTTACCCACGTTTGCAAAAAGGTAAAAGGAAAGATATTTTTTGAAAAAATAAATCCTTTATTTCATAGGATTCAGGACCAAATAAATTCTTATAACTCTCATGACATTTAAGGGTGACATAATTATACAATCAAAGGAGTAGGTACATTTTCTTTCAAAAAGTTTTTATTTTTAAAAACAAATTCACTTAACAATTAGGAAATGTAAACGAATTTTGTATTTTAATTATCACCAAAAGTAAAAAATGTGTATGCATAAATAAAAAAAATATTTCTAAAATTAACATTTCATGCCATTGACTAATTGAGCGAAGTAAGCATATTGTAACAATAACTAATTCTAAATAACTCAAACAAGATAGTTTAAAATTCTTTTTCATTTTAACATGAAATCATGCCATTGAGTAATAACTAGTAAGCATATTCAAGAAAGAATTAATTCTAAATAACTCAAACAAGTAATTCGAATATCTTTTTCATTTTTTTATTTTCTTAGTGATTTTAATTATTTTAATTAAAGAATGATAACTTTATTTTCTTATTTTTGCCTCATTCTTCCTAACTCTAATGTCTTGACTAAATTTGTTATAGTAATTTTATAAATATTTAATTCAAGTTTTTTATTTAATATTTTAAAAAATTTATTAGTTTCTTATTCATTTAAATTTTGAAGAAAATAAGATTTGCAATATAAATAAGAGATTATTGTTTCTTATGTTGTTGGAGATAATGCACACACATAATATAAAAGTGTGTGGAGTTCATATTACTTTTCACATAGTTTCACATGGATCATATACACTTTTATATGTATAGAAAATAATTTTATCTTCTGTAAAATAATTTTATGTGTATAGAAAGATTAATCCCTATAAATAAATTCAACCAACTAAACCCAACTCAACAAAAAATTCTTTCAACCCAATACAGCTCTGTCTCAAAAGCTTCTTAACCCAAAAAACTGGAAGAGAGAGAGAGAGATCTACTGTTGAGTAGGTGTGACACGAGTTTGAAAAACCCATAAGTCTAATGGGTTGGGCTAAAATATACAGTAGAAGAAATTACAATCCAATTCATTACGACTAACTTCTTCTTCTTCTTTTTTGTAATAACATTACGACCAACTTCACTATCATTATCAGAGACCACGATTATTGATAAATAAACAGCACCTTGATTACTATTTCCTTGCATTTTATCTATTTTGTATGCTATTTCAGGAAAAAAATTATTTGATTTATAATTTTAAAAAATCAATAAATGTTAATTTTTTAAAACTTCACTCTTGATGTTAATAAGTTTAAAAATATCAAAAAAGTAATGATAATATTGTATTTTAATAAATACTTCAATTTAATGTAATTATTTTTCTTAGCAAGAAAAACAATTTAATATTTTTCTTTATTCTTGTGTAACTCTTTATCGACAGAAAATAATAATAATAATAACTACTCCGAACTTCGTGGCACACATATCGATGCTATCATACATGAAAGTAATAGAGTAAATTAAAATATATACAGATAGATAACATCCGGGTTTAATTCCAATTGATGGAAGAATTAGATGGAAATAACTTTTTTTTCCATGTGAAATATTGACGTGATTTTATTATGTGATATAATTATATAATTTTATCAACATCAACATCAACGTCAACATCAGCAACATTTTTATCCCAATTAATTGGAGTCGATGGTAGATGAACTCAAATAAAAGATACAAAAAAATTGAAAAAAATAAAAATAAAAATAAATAAATAGAATAGTAAA